TTTAATGATCGCCCCTGAGACACATGTTAACGCATTCAGAGAAAAAGACAGACATAGTGGTGACAACTATACAAGTATTATATGTTTCCTGTATCCTAGTTCTCAGCACTATAAAAAATATTTTTTTTTCTCCGAGTGCGCATCTGTATTAATGTACCAATCTAAAATCTATCTAGTCTCGAGTCCTCGCCATAGTCTAGAAAGGGGATCATATATTGATAATGTGATACCATATCGTCTGGCATTGCGTGATAATCGGTCTGGAAATTTGTTAGGATCATGCCGCCAAGGAGAAGGCGCTCCAGACAATGTCAAGCATGTCAAGCGCCCAAATAGTATCAGCTGGAAGCGCGATACACAACAAGATGCCCCTCATGGGCGGGACCCTTGCCCTTCATGCTTCCACCCCTGTCTCCTATCCCGGAGCGGTAAGTCCTGATCTCGGAGAACCCCTTTTGAGAGACATTTTTTTAATCGGTCTTTCTCTTCAAAACAGCCACGAGCTTTAGGGTGAGACGACTCTATAAAATGCGAATTAATTAAGTTAATCACTGTACTGGTGATTTCGCATGACGAATCGCTTTTAAGTAAAACAAACGGCCTCAATCTCTCTCGCTTTTATAATCGTTGCATTGACTTTTAAATTGTGAATTTTCTTCAATCGATTTTTACATATAAAGCGCTGTTGTACTCTTTATTGTTGTCAAAGATCGATTTTACATAAAGTCTTGGTGAAACCTTTCCAGGCAAATATTTTAAAGATAACTTTTAAAATAGTTTATTTTCAAAAATTATATACGGATTTTTTTCTTTAAATGGGAATCAAATTTCAGGCGATGAAAGAATTTGTACAAATAGGATCAATGTTGAGTGTCTAAATGTAAAAGGTGTAAAATGAAATTTTTGTATGTGACACTAGTGACTGTTATATTATATAATGTAATTTTAAAACGAAATAGCAATCCATTTCCGATTTATATTGACTTATATGATGTCATTCATATAATATCGATAGATTGAAAGCCTCGCAGGAAAAACATAAAATATCGTCTTTGACGAATTTTATTTTTATTGTCAGCATTACCGATTTGGCCTCTTCTTTTGTTGAAGTTTGTGATTGTTTTCAAGCGCTTTGCTCGATAACCGCTAATCCGCCTATCGAAGGCAATGCCCATCGTTTGTCGACTGACCTATAAATTGTTTTTATGTCTTACGAGAGTTTGAGATAATACCGTGTAATTAAAATGTCATGCCAGAGATATTATGAATGGCACTAACTTAACAACATTGCACTTAGAGACAATGTGCATTCGCAATTAATAAATCGTTTTGATCTCAGTAAAAATATTCAACCTTAACTTTTCCACACAATGTAATATCAATTTAAATTATAATATATTACATTATAATTTAAATTTCTGTGACCATTGTTAAATATGTCGGAGATACGTTTGATGTTGAAATCAATGATATATCTGCGAACAATGACAATTTGTTCAAAATTGAAAAAAATTGTTTTCGTATCTTTAGATTGACTTAACTGTGTTGCTTTTATATTGAAAAGAGTCTGTAATAGCTATCAAATGTTAAGTGAAATAATGCCAATCAAACGTTCGGCTAATATAATCAAAAGTAATTTTACTTTACCAAATATTCACTAAGTATTACCAAACATAATAATATAATCAAGTGTTTGATAATTCTTATTAAATATTTAAGAAAGTAAAATTATTATATTAACCGAACATTTAATTGGCATTATTTCACTCAACATTTGGCAACTATTACCAGACTTTTTTCTGTATATCCTGCGTTTTATACAAAAAAGAAAAGGGGGAAAATATATTTACTAATTAGAGGCGGCGAATAGTGTTCCCTTTGTTTCCGTAACTAAATTTTCCGCTTTTTTTACTGTCATGTTTTGTTCTTTTGTGCTCTTTTTCGCATCTAATTATAAAACAAGAATGAGGAAAATATTATAGCAAGAGAAAGTTGTTTCCGTGATCAATCGTCTTTCTTTTCTTCATGGCGCGAAAGCTTTTGCGTTGAAAACTAACCATCCCTCGCAAAAGTGACATCTCCCCTGGCTCTCTGCTGCTGCGCTGCCCCTGGGGGCCCTTGTTGTGTATTGTTGAATTTGTCCATCGCTCTAATCTTGTACATATGTGTTCCTAGGCATTACATATCTATATACAACACGTATACATACAAATTAAGTGTGTATGCGTTACATTTGACATATCTGCATAATAAAAAAAATGATCGCTGTGGCTTATCAAACTGTCTTTCTTTCTCTTTACATAATAATACGATCATTAGCTTTTTGTTGTTATTGTCGTTGTTGTTCTCTTTTACTTGTGTTTATTCATTGTTTCTTATCGCTCATTCCTCGCCCGACGGCTCGATGGCTTTTACGGAAACTTTTTTTTACTGAAATAGTTGTAGTATTATATAAAGATTTACGTAAATACAATCGATTGTTCGGAAAGATTTTGAAAATGCAGGTTAAAAATATTGTAAAATTTTTTCCATAATTTAAGAGAAACGGATCTATTTATTTATTTATTTTTTTTTTTGGCTTAAAACTATCAACTTTCAATTTATTTCCTTTGTATTTACTGGCTATACGATTTTAGCAAAATCGTGGTTACGCAAATTTGACTATTATTTGATTATTCGGTAACTAAAGCATCAATTATTCATTAAATGGCAATGAATTAGCCATTATTAATAAACATCAGGTGAATGGAAATCGACTAATCGTTAATTGTTTGCGAGAATATCACCATTAGATACAAATTCGCGCTATACTTTCAGCAATTTTGGCAGCCAGGCCTGCAACCAGGAACGTCCCAGGATGTCAAACCTTTCCCTCAGCCTGCCTACACCGGAAAACCTGCGACTGCGGTCTCGAGCGGTGATTTGGTCCAAGCGCAGCCTGCACCACCATGGGAAGGACGTGCTATCGCGACTCACAAGCTCAGGCTTGTTGAGTTTTCGGCCTACATGGAACAACAAAGAGAACAGGAGATTGTAAGCAACATTGTAATTTATTAATTGAGAAGATTTCAAGATAGTCTAAATGTATATTGCTTTTTACCAAAAAATACTCGCAAAAGTGTCGTATACCTTTGAGAAATTTTTTTCAAGGATAAAATCTAGTACGTTTATATTTTATTGGTGTCTGATAAAAAAAATGTAAAAAATTCTCGAAAACGTAACTTAAATATATCTTAAGTACTTATATAATTTGTATGATATTTAAAACATTATTATATAGATAATAATTCTTTATTTAATCTCAAATAGTAAGTAGAAATTAAAAATTGTCACATCGATATAATTGAAATTGCTAATTATTGATTATATCAATATATAGCTTGATAATCATGAAAGATTTTAATATAGCAAAAATAATGTAAATATCGTGTTTGTATAATCGACTATTAATGATAAGGCTGATAAGGTAGACAGTAAAAAACGGAAAAATTGATAGGACATCCAGAAAGATTCACTTTCTCAGATAAATGAAGATAATATATAATAATTGAAGTACGTTTATGAATATTCTTTTACGTATGTAAATTTCTTTTTTTAGTACCACAAACACCTGTTCGTTCATATAGGAGGTTCCGCGACATACGCCGATCCGCTATTAGAAGCGGTCGATGTTAAACAGATATATGACAAATTCCCGGAAAAGAAGGGCGGTCTTAAAGAACTTTACGATAAAGGACCGCAAGCAGCTTTCTTCCTCGTTAAGTTTTGGGCTGATCTCAATAGTAACATCCAAGACGAAAGTGGAGTATTTTACGGCGTCACGAGCCAGTGAGTAACGTCAGCTTCTTGGTTACTCAACTCTAGTTTGATATAATATATATATATATATATTAAATTTTGTATTAACAGGTACGAGAGCAACGAGAACATGACGATAACATGTTCGACGAAAGTATGCTCTTTCGGAAAGCAGGTAGTAGAGAAGGTAGAGACGGAGTATGCCAGGTTTGAGAATGGCAGGTTCGTTTATCGTATTAGCCGTTCACCTATGTGCGAATATATGATTAATTTCATTCACAAACTGAAGCACCTGCCAGAAAAGTACATGATGAATAGCGTTCTCGAAAATTTCACCATCCTTCAGGTGTGTTGACATCATATGTATCAATTTTATTATGTATTATAAATAATTACTTATATTTATTCTTGAATAAAAACTTAAAGATCGTTTGAAATATCTAGTCGGATTCAAATTTATTTAAAATATATATTTTGAGTTTATCCCATTAATTTTAATATTTTAATATTTTAATATTTGTTAACTTATTTGTCTTGATTTTACGATTACATTACAAAATTCTATTAGAATATTGATATTATTATATTTCTTCTTCTTTGTATAAACAAAAAATTAGTTACAAATAATTTGTGCTATAAATGTTATAGAAGTACATATTTTCTTACTTTTACCTTTTCTCTTTTCAGGTTGTCACGAACAGGGATACGCAGGAAACGTTATTGTGTACGGCATATGTGTTCGAAGTATCAGCATCTGAACACGGTGCTCAGCATCACATATACAGATTGGTCCAAGACTAGCCTGCTTGAACCTGCTCGCCATGCAGCCATCCACCCCCATCAGTGCCTACCATCACATAAAGATCATCCATACACATATACACACATGATTATATTGTGAAAATACAATATATATATATATAGAGCAGAGTTCCTCTATTCTAAAGTTATTGGAGTCGAGCAATGTCGAATATTTCCTCTAATCTTCCCTTTACTTCTTATTCTTATTCCAAATAACACGAACTGATTGGAAATGTTATTACATAGTATATTTTTTTCTCACTATATTATTGTGTCGAATATGACAAAATGGGAAAATAGTAAGCAGTAGCGTAAAAAGAGAAATTTAGTTTAGAGGAATTCAGCTGATTTAGAATAGAAGAACACTTAGAATACAGGAATTTGATTGTGCGATATGATGCGTGAATATGTGAGTGTAAACATGCTTACACTTATACAAAAATATTTTCGCGTCCATAGGAGAGTTTCGATGGAAAATATTCGGTCGATGACATAAAAATTATGGAAAATTATCCTATAAACAGTTGTAAATACTGAGTAAATAATAGATGTTATAATAAAACATCCTCTATATACAATTATGAAATATTGCATTGCCTACGTTTTTCTTTTTTTTTTCCAAATTTCTGTATGCGAATTTTTTCTTATGTAACATTCTAATTTCATAAATTTTAATTTATGAAAATAAAGAATCTTGCATAAATCTTGATAATCTTAATAATCTTGATAAATAAAAGAATCTTGAATAAAGAATCTTTTTTGTCATTTTAAAGAATTAGTTGTAGAGAAATATTAGAAAATAAAAGAAACAAGTTGCGCGAGAACCGGCTGTGCATGCTAAGAAATTAAATTAAAGATGAAAAATTCTAAGTATTATATAATAAATATTATAAATATCCCAAAAAGAGTTTAATTTCTATCCTCGATTTCTATCTCGAGTGTTTTGTAAAGCAAAATGAAAAAAATTAATGAAATGTGTTGCGAACGTTTTCCGTGAAACTCCTTAATAAGGACTCTACACACATATGTACACATATATAATAGAGTACTGGCCAGCCCGAGCTTGAGTTTGATTCAAAATTCATACTTCTAGTAACTTAATTGATTTAATTACTTTGTGTTGATTTTGAGTTAATCTATAAAAATTTGATATAATATTAAGAAGAAATTTTTACTTTATTCCGAATCCAATATCTTTAAAATATCATACAATTGTAAATTTTATAATAAAATAGGAATTCAAAAGTTTTTCATGTATATATTTTATGATCATAATCATTGTCCTATTTAATCGACGTCTCAATAAACCGTCGATTAATCTTAAAGAGAATCGATTTTAAGAAGAGAGACTATATTGTAATGAATTAATTTAAAATTGACAATAAATTTTGGTATAAAACTGCATAGAAAATATATAATTATGCAACAAAAATAAAAAAAAGAGAAAACAGAAACAGACTCTGATCTCGGAAAGGCATGGTACCTCAATATTTGATTTAGTATTATAGTTTTATTATTACATTAGACGATATATTATAGAGACTCGAGACAAGAAACATCCACACACAGATATACATATATTACGTATAAGAGTATATGTTAAATATTAATGCAATGATTACGATTTACATTGTTATAAATGATCGTGTATAAAGTTATCTAAGTGATTTCTAAGTTTTAAAAGAAATGAAGTTTGACCGAGAGATATGCCATTATGATTTTTTTATGTAATATGAAATACAATATTATATATTGTTTTAATGATCAGATTTATAAGTAAGAGACAGAAGAAAAATGAAATATTGAACATTAACATGCGTTTCTTTAAGCTTTGTCACAGAACTGCATTTCGCATCATGCAAAAATTCTTATCAGTGAGAATCTTGCTACAGCGATCAATCTGCAATTGACCATTAAAAAAGAATGATTATTTATATATATTTTTCAAATTTAATCTTATAAAACGCATTGCTAATGTGCAAACCCATTCTGATTAGGCAGCGACACTTAGGTTAAAGGGATGTGTTTGTATTTCTCATAATAATCACTTTACTTTGTATTCTAAGATCATTTTCTATAGTATTTCTTACTGATGAATGATTTTCTTTACTTAGCGTACTTTGTTTGTTTTTATCTTTCTCTACACTTACAAAGCGATATACCAGATCGATATACATCGATTATACAGATGGAAGGCCACCATCATAAGTTATAGCTATGTGATAGGGACTTTGATTGCTCTAAAAATCTGATCTTGACATTTATCGATCAGGAGTGTATTGAAATCAATCTTAAAAAAAAAACTATAGGCAAACAACATACGGCAATTTCATAGTGACATGGAATGACATCGATATTCAAATTATGGTACATCATTCGATCTGATTTCAATATCGCTCTTCAAATCTCTGCAAGTTAAAAGTATTTTTCAAAGCACTGATATAAGGGGATACAATAGCCCGTTGCAAAAAAACGTTTCGTACTTAATAATATTATTTACATATTACACAAACATGGACCATAGAGAATGCATACAGAGATTTTTCATGAACTTAGTGGCAATTGT